GCAAACAACAATTAACACGTTTCGCACTCAAATGTCAATATCATGTGTATATTTCAGTGCGAACTGAAATGTCAGTATCATGTTGTATTGCCTTTGCTACCTGACTAAATTCGGCCGGCTGATTGGTATTCTATGTTAACGTTGATCCTGTCTATTTCGCGCATGCGCTTGTAAATTTCGGAACCGAAGTGACGCTCCTCGTTGATTTGTTATACTCTGTTGGTAGTGTGATTTAACTTAAACATTACAGTAACGACGGCAAATATATAATCAGATGAGATTTTCTACTTGGATTAGTGTTTGTTAAAGCATGACTAGTATATCTTTAAAACATGTTTTCAAGGCAAAACATTTTACAGTATGCCCGCTAAATCCTTCAACTAAAACTTGTCTAAGCTAATTGTTCTATAGTCTTTAAACAAATTAAAAAAAATAATCTTAACCTAAATATTACCTAATATTTCATCTTTCTTAGTGGTGTTACACAAAAGATGGGAACAAACTAAGTAGAAATTTAATTAGTTCATATGTAGATTACCCAATCTTACTAAAAGAATATCAACATTATGAATGTTATTTTTTACTACTTATATATTTTCTTTACAATATTGCATCATGAGTAATCTACAATGAACTCAAAACCTAGACAATATTAATAGTTATGCCATGTACACACAAAGTTATGCTATCCATACAAAGTCGAAATTTTTTTTGTCCCTCCTTTGCTCATTCTTTAATTTGTAGCTCCATTAGCACTTCTAAATTCTGTTCATAATTAGAGAAGATATGATGAACCTTTCCTCTACAATATTCGCTTAGTTTACTCTCACCTTTATATGTACTGTTATTTAGTCAAATTATTTATAAAAGTCAACTCATTCTAAAACAAGTTCACAAAAGTTCACATATTCAGCACTAAACCTTTTTCGTTCTAACTATTTTTCACGCAACATCATGGAAACAGCGACTCTTTAAGATATCTAGGAAACAGCTCCGTGATGTGAATGAGATCTCATTAGACCTCCATTAGACGGATTATTCCTTTGTTCTGGCGGTGAATACCTTCTTCTTTCGTACCTGTTCTTTGGTTCTTCTAATCTGTAACCTCCATTTGGTCTTTCTAAACCCTCTTGCCCTCTTGTGATCAGTACATCTCCGTTCCGTAGATATCTATATGAGGACTTTTATATTGTTACAAGTGTGCTTCGGATTTTCTACGTAGGGCGTCTCTGTTTTCTTTCTATTTTTTGCGGCATATCTGGTTTCTTATTAGAATGCGTCGATTTTTATTTTGTTAAAAATATTTTTATATAAACTCTTTATTTGATGCGATTTTTGACACTTTTTTGGTGAATTATAGGAATATCTTTGTTTTGCTGACTGTTAAGGGAAGAAAGAAAGGACAAACAGAAATATACAAAATAATTTTATTGTTTATCTTACCAATGCAAAAATATTTACGATTGTACATATTTATATTTTGTCATACAAACATGACTTCTGTACAATTATTAGCCTAATATCGAGAGATTACTAGCATTGAGCAATTTTTCATTTATTTATAGGATAAATATGCCCTATGTTCGAGCTAGAGAAGGAGTATGAAATAGTATCCATTACTTTGGTCAACACCAAGTCATCTTTCTTTACAAAAAACTAGCGTTGTTGCACACTACTACACGCTTTTAAATTGGATATTAATAGATTAAAATTTAAGGCCTTCGTCTTAATACTATGTTGTTTTTGTAACTGACAACTTTAACAAGGGTTTAAAGCAGGGAGAAGATGTGATGTGTTGGTACCAGAGAAACAATAGTTGCGACAGTAAGCGTCGAAACCTTTGACGTTTGATGTTCCAATTTTAGCCGCCGCGGATTTGAAGGTGATCATGACTAATACACTGCTGAAAACGTGAACTATGTCGAATACAATGTAAGAAACTTGAAGTGGACTCATAGAACACTTTATAATACATGGTTGAATGTATTTTTACCGATCATAGTCTTTGGGAAATGAAAACATGGATTTCTTATCTCCTGGTCTTGTTAAACAAGGGCGATACGCACAACACGTTCCTGGCATTATTAATAATAATTATTAAAAACACAGCAAACAACAATTAACACGTTTCGCACTCAAATGTCAATATCATGTTTTATTGCCTTTGCTACCTGACTAAATTCGGCCGGCTGATTGGTATCCTATGTTAACGTTGATTCTGTCTATTTCGCGCATGCGCTTGTAAATTTCGGAACCGAAGTGACGCTACTCGTTGATTTGTTATACCCTGTTGGTACTGTGATTTAACTTAAACATTACAGTAACGACGACAAATATATAATCAGATGAGATTTCTACTCGGATTAGTGGTTGTTAAAGCATGACTAGTATATCTTTAAAACATGTTTTCAAGGCAAAACATTTTACAGTATGCCCGCTAAATCTTTCTTCAACCAAATCTAAACTAATTGTTCTATAGTCTTTATACAAATCAAAAAAATAAATCTTAACCTAAATATCACCTAATATTTCATCTTTCTTAATGGTGTTACACAAAAGATGGGAACAAAAAAACCCAATCTTACTAAAAGCATATCAACATTATGAATGTTATAATTTACTACTTATATCTTTTCGTTACAATATTGCATCATTAGTAATCTACAATGAACTCAAAACCTAGACAATACTAACAATTATGCTATGTACACACAAAGTGATGCTATCCATACAAAGTCGATTTTTTTTGTCCCTCCTTTGATCATTCTTTAATTTGTAGCTCCATTAGCACTTATAAATTCTGTTCATAATTAGAGAAGATATGATTAACCTTTCCTCCACAATATTCGCTTAGTTTACTCTCACCTTTATATGTACTGTTATTTAGTCAAATTATTTATAAAAGTCAACTCATTCTAAAACAAGTTCACAAAAGTTCACATATTCAGCACTAAACCGTTTTAGTTCTAACTATTCTTCACGCAACATCATGGAAACTGCGACTCTTTGAGTAATCTAGGAAACACAGCTCCGTGATATGAATGAGATCTCATTAGACGGATTATTCCTTTGTTCTGGCGGTGGATGAGATCTCATTAGACCTCCATTTTTGACAAATTTTTGTGAATTATAGGTATATCTTTGTTTTGCTGACTGTTAAGGGAATAAAGAAAAAACAAGGAAATATACAAAATAATTTTATTGTTTATCTTACCAATGCAAAAATATTTACGATTGTACATATTTATATTTTCTCATACAAACATGACTTCTGTACAATTATTAGCCTAATATCGAGAGATTACTAGCATTGAGCAATTTTTCATTTATTTATAGGATAAATATTATGCCCTATGTTCGAGCTAAAAAAGGAGTATGAAATAGTATCCATTACTTTGGTCAACACCAAGTCAACTTTCTTTACAAAAAACTAGCGTTGTTGCACACTACTACACGCTTTTAAATTTGATATTAATAGATTAAAATTTAAGGCCTTCGTCTTAGAACTATGTTGTTTTTGTAACTGACAACTTTAACAAGGGTTTAAAGCAGGGAGAGGATGTGATGTGTTGGTACCAGAGAAACAAACGAACGAGTAGCGACAGTAAGCGTCGGAACCTTTGACGTTTGATGTTCCAATTTTAGCCGCCGCGGATTTGAAGGTGATCATGACTAATACACTGCCGAAAACGTGAACTATGTCGAATACAATGTAAGAAACTTGAAGTGGACTCATAGAACACTTTATAATACATGGTTGAATGTATTTTTACCGATCATAGTCTTTGGGAAATGAAAACATAGATATCTTATCTCCTGGTCTTGTTAAACAAGGGCGATACGCACAACACGTTCCTGGCATTATTAATAATAATTATTAAAAACACAGCAAACAACAATTAACACGTTTCGCACTCAAATGTCAATATCATATTTTATTGTCTTTGCTACCTGACTAAATTCAGCCGGCTGATTGGTATCCTATGTTAACGTTGATCCTGTCTATTTCGCGCATGCGCTTGTAAATTTCGGAACCGAAGTGACGCTCCTCGTTGATTTGTTATACTCTGTTGGTACTGTGATTTAACTTAAACATTACAGTAACGACGGCAAATATATAATCAGATGAGATTTTCTACTTGGATTAGTGGTTGTGAAAGCATGACTAGTATATCTTTAAAACAAGTTTTCAAGGCAAAATATTTTACAGTATGCCCGCTAAATCCTTTTTCAACTAAATCTTGTCTAAACTAATTGTTCTATAGTCTATACAAATTAAAAAATTAAATCTTAACCTAAATATCACCTTGGTGTTACACAAAAGATGGGAACAAACTAAGTAGAAATTTAATTAGTTTATCTGTAGATTACCCAATCTTACTAAAAGCATATCAACATTATGAATGTTATTTTTTACTACTTATACCATTTCGTTACAATATTGCATCATGAGTAATCTACAATGAACTCAAAACCTAGACGATACTAACAGTTATGCTATGTACACACAAAGTTATGCTATCCATACAAAGCTGATTTCTTTTTGTCCCTCCTTTAATCATTCTTTAATTTGGAGCTCCATTAGCACTTCTAAATTCTGTTCATAATTAGAGAAGTTATGATGAACCTTTCTTCCACAATATTCGCTAAGCGATAAAGGTAAACTTAGTTTACTCTCACCTTTATATGTACTGTTATTTAGTCAAATTATTTATAAAAGTCAACTCATTCTAAAACAAGTTCACAAAAGTTCACACATTCAGCACTAAACCGTTTTAGTTCTAACTATTTTTCACGCAACATCATGGAAATTGCGACTCTTTGAGATATCTAGGAAACACAGCTCCGTGATGTGAATGAGATCTCATTAGATGGATTATTCCTTTGTTCTGGCGGTGGATGAGATCTCATTAGACCTCCATTTTTGACAAATTTTTGTGAATTATAGGTATATCTTTGTTTTGCTGACTGTTAAGGGAATAAAGAAAAAACAAGAGAAATATACAAAATAATTTTATTGTTTATCTTACCAATGCAAAAATATTTACGATTGTACATATTTATATTTTCTCATACAAACATGACTTCTGTACAATTATTAGCCTAATATCGAGAGATTACTAGCATTGAGCAATTTTTCATTTATTTATAGGATAAATATTATGCCCTATGTTCGAGCTAAAAAAGGAGTATGAAATAGTATCCATTACTTTGGTCAACACCAAGTCAACTTTCTTTACAAAAAACTAGCGTTGTTGCACACTACTACACGCTTTTAAATTGGATATTAATAGATTAAAATTTAAGGCCTTCGTCTTAGAACTATGTTGTTTTTGTAACTGACAACTTTAACAAGGGTTTAAAGCAGGGAGAGGATGTGATGTGTTGGTACCAGAGAAACAAACGAACGAGTAGCGACAGTAAGCGTCGGAACCTTTGATGTTTGATGTTCCAATTTTAGCCGCCGCGTATTTGAAGGTGATCCTGACTGATACACTACTGAAAACGTGAACTATGTCGAATACAATGTAAAAAACTTGAACTGGACTCATAGAACACTTTATAATACATGGTCGAATGTATTTACCGATCATAGTCTTTGGGAAATGAAAACATGGATTTCTTATCTCCTGGTCTTGTTAAACAAGGGCGATATGCACAACACGTTCCTGGCATTATTAATAATAATTATTAAAAACACAGCAAACAACAATTAACACGTTTCGCACTCAAATGTCAATATCATGTTTTATTGCCTTTGCTACCTGACTAAATTCGGCCGGCTGATTGGTATCCTATGTTAACGTTGATCCTGTCTATTACGCGCATGCGCTTGTAAATTTCGGAACCGAAGTGACGCTACTCGTTGATTTGTTATACCCTGTTGGTACTGTGATTTAACTTAAACATTACAGTAACGACGGCAAAGATATAATCAGATGAGATTTTCTACTTGGATTAGTGGTTGTGAAAGCATGACTAGTATATCTTTAAAACAAGTTTTCAAGGCAAAATATTTTACAGTATGCCCGCTAAATCCTTTTTCAACTAAATCTTGTCTAAACTAATTGTTCTATAGTCTATACAAATTAAAAAATTAAATCTTAACCTAAATATCACCTAATATTTCATCTTTCTTAGTGATGTTATACAAAAGATGGGAACAAACTAAGTAGACATTTCAGTAGTTTATCTGTAGATTACACAATCTTACTAAAAGCATATCAACATTATGAATGTGATTTTTTACTACTTATATCTTTTCGTTACAATATTGCATCATGAGTAATCTACAATGAACTCAAAACCTAGACAATACTAACAGTTATGCTATGTACACACAAAATTATGCTATCCATACAAAGTCGAAATTTTTTTGTCCCTTCTTTGATCATTCTTTAATTTGTAGCTCTATTAGCACTTCCAAATTCTGTTCATAACTAGAGCAGATATGATGAACCTTTCCTCCTCAATATTCGCTTAGCTTACTCTCACCTTTATATGTACTGTTATTTAGTCAAATTATTTATAAAAGTCAACTCATTCTAAAACAAATTCACAAAAGTTCACACATTCAGCACTAAACCGTTTTAGTTCTAACTATTTTTCACGCACCATCATGGAAACCGCGATTCTTTGAGATATCTAGGAAACACAGCTCCGTGATGCGAATGAGATCTCATTAGACCCCCATTAGACGGATGATTCCTTTGTTCTGGCGGTGAATACCTTCTTCTTTCGTACCTGATCTTTGGTTCTTCTGATCTGTAACCTCCACTTGGTCTCTCTAAATCCTCTTGTGATCTGTACATCTCCGTTCCGTAGATATCTATATGAGGACTTTTGTATTGGTACAAGTGTGCTTCGGATTTTCTGCGCAAGGCGTCTCTATATTTCCTTTCTATTTCTTGTGGCATATCTGGTTTTTTATTCGAATGCGTCGAAGATTCACTTGAGTTTTCTTCTGACGTTCCCAAACCCAGATCTTTATCCAAATCACCGAAACTTTTGAATGGTTTGTTGTTGTATCTTTCTATGGGTGTTAAGCTGGTGTTGCGCAAATTACTGCTTAAGTTGCTGCCGTTGAGCGTGAATTGTGGATGTGGTATACAGTAGGGATGAGGCAAGGACTTTTCTATGCTTGATAGCTTCACGTCTTCGTCGTCGTCGTCGTGACCTGTACAAGACCCTGGGCCGAAGAGCGACAAGAGAACTGGCAAGAGGAAGAGACCGTGCATCGCTCCTAAGAATACTACTAAGAAGATCATCTTGAAGAAGACGGAGAATATGTAGTTTTGGGCTAAGATGAGGGCTATCATGCCAAGTATAGTACTGACCGATCCTGAAACAAAAAAAAATATTGTTAACCTATTTATGTGCTACAAATTCCGAATACGCATTGTGAATGTATTAGTGAAGATTTACGTGCATCCGTCATGCGTCGTTCCTTCACTACAATTAGGTCACTTTTGAAATAAACCAATTACTAAGGGCTAGTAAAGGTTAGTTTTGGGTCGAGATGTAAGAAGTAGTGTAAAATGCATTTATAATGTACTGAACAAAGAGAGAATAGTAAAAACGTCGCCAAATGTATGAAATAAAGCGAGAGACTGTGCACATTGCTAAGTTGCCAATCAGTACTTAAAATTCTAGGGAAGGGTGTACATCATGCGTTCAGCTTCACGATTTAAATGCGTCTCTTTATACTTTATATATTTTCCCTATAGCTTGTACATTAAATACCGACCCAAAAGTAAGAGTTGCCAGCACGGTATGTAGATTGTGTGTTAGGGGGGATGTTAACCACCGCGACCTTATAGATTTATTGTGTTCCCCTTTTTTGACTTACAAGTCATCATACAGTCTCCGGGCTTTGTCAAAAGCCAGAATGGCCTTTCCGGAATTGCAGATATGTGCTTGCGGATTAAGCAAACGGATTCAAAAATGAATATGGAAGAAAGAGTCAGCATTTTGACATTTTTAAAGAAATTCTAGCAGTGAGTTTTACTGTTCAGTCCCAATAAATATCGAACTGCTCTCTGAAGTTTGAAAATACGATCAAACCTTGTTGCGCAGCAAGTGCTCCAGAATGGAAGGGCACAACGAAGATGCCATTCAAAAAGGGCATAATAGATCATTCTAGAAGTTGATAAGTTAAGTTCCTTAGAAACTGATCTTAGTGCAAAACAGGCAGCGCTTAATTTCTTTGATAAAGCTTCGATGTGCAAGTCCCATTTTAACGAGTTGTCTACAACAAGTCCTAAGAATTTCATAGAGTCCACGACGTCAATAGTGGTGTTATTAAGTACAAAAGGTTGTATAGTACTTTTATATGACAAAACTTTAGTTTTTGAAAGGTTGAGGCATAGGAGATTAGAATCGCACCAAGATTTAATGATCTGATAATAATAATGATCGATAAGGATATAGTATTATATAGTGCCGTAACATTGGGCCGTTCCAAGTGAAACTAGTATCGTCCGCAAAGAGGCAGATTTTACCGCTAATGTCTAGAATTGCACTGTCGTTGATAAACACCAGAAACAAAATAGGGCCAAGTACTGAACCCTGAGGGACACCACATTCTATAGGTTTAGTTTACAAGAAGACAGACGTATCAATCCTCACAAGCTGCCTTCTGTTGTCAAGATATGACTTAAGCCATTCGACCGGCACTCCCCTGGATCCATAGTATTGCAATTTGTTAATTAACATATTATGATTTACACAGTCGAAAGCCTTAGAGAAATCACAGAAAATTGTAGCTGTAGAGTGATGGTTATTCAGGCTAGAGTAAACATTATTAAACATTATTAAAACATCATTTGTGCAACTGTTACTTAGAAATCCAAATTGATGGGTAGTAAGTACTTTATATTTAAGGAGAAAAGATAGAAGCCTTTTTTAACCATTAGATAATGTGGGCAGGAGAGCAGTTGGGCGATAGTTCGAAGCTTGATCTTTATCTCCTCCTTTATACAGAGGAATAATTATTGCTGTCTTAAGGCAGTTTGGTACTCCTTTTTGGAATGACTCGTTAATTAAAGTAGTAAGATAGATTAACGTAGATTAACGTGCATTCCGGAAGTTCAGAGATTTTGAGAGTAAGCCCATCAGTCCCAGATGAGGATTTGTTTTTAATACTTTTAATTGTACTATGGAGCTTATCTACTGCTACGTGCGTGAAGAAGAAACTGTGTAAATTCTCATTTGCTTTAGGGATTGCTGATATGAAAGTGAATCATGGGAAGGAGTTATGGTGTTCACTAAATTTTTAGCCACATTAACAAAGTAAGTGTTTAAATCTTCAGGTGGGAATTAAAGACTGTGCCAGACGAAGAAGTCTTATTCCTTAAGTCATTTACAATAGCCTAAGTCACCTTAGCAACATTACCGGATTTGGCTAGCCTCCCATTATAATAAATCCTTGGCAGCGTAATTGAATAGTTAGAGTGATTTTCGGAATTCATTTTGTAAGGGGGTAAAACTGGAGGTGAAAAGTTGTATAACTTTTATGTAAAATCCGTTCTAGGTCTAGGAATACGAAATTTTGCAGAGAGTGTGCCTTAAGTGAGGAAAGGGAATACTCAGAAGCGAATTTTGGACATTCATTTCCTAAGAAATAAGGGATGAAAATTAGTACAAAAATTTGTTAAAATTGCTTTGAGAAGCATGAAATTCTGAGCAGACGTTCCTTATGTAACGCAATTTAGTGCTAAGAAACAATTTTTGGAAATTCACCCTCTAAGGGTGTGAAATGAGGGGTGAATTTTTGTAGTGGAAAAATTGCATTGCAAGAAAGGTATTTTTTAACATTCTATGTTTATGATGGGATACAGTTTTTGGTGGGCGACATGGTCGCCCATGTATTATTAAGAATCTTACAAAAACTCGACCCATGAAAGTTAAATAAACTACTTACCTTGAAATATTGGCAATCCTAAAGCGTATAAAGCTTCGCTCATTTTGTCTTTGGCTTTCTTGGCTGGCGACGACATGTAGGCATAACAAATGTGGGCAGTGAAATCAACGCTGAATCCGATGCACATGATCAAGTTGATCATGGAGATCGAATCGAGATTTACGCCCCATAGGGCCATATAACCGACCACTCCTGCTTCAATGGAGATGATGCTGAAGGCCACCCAGAATGCGCAGAAGATGTTTGGTATAAAGATGAACGAGACCAGCATCATAACAGCGCCGCCTATGATGATGTTTTGAATGGATAGTGGTCGGACTAATTCAAACTGAAACAAAACAATAAGTATTTTAATGTATTCTGTTTGGTGAAAATTTTAAAGGAATTATGATTGTTTTACGAAATATTTCTGGAAATATTTCAGAAGTAAGCTCAAATATAAGCTCGTGTTATAAAAATTAGTTCTGGGTTAACAATAAAAAACAAACAACCAATCACGGCGCGTCTTGATCTATTTCAGGAAACGTGGGAACTAATTTATATAACACGGACTTATATTTATCGTACTATTTTGTGAAATAGCAGGAAGCACTCAAGGTCAAACGTTGTGATGGCTTTAGAAAAATGAGTAAACATGGAGCATGAATAAATATAATTAATTTGTAGCGAAGTGTAATGTAATACCACTATATTAAACTGATATGAAAAATCAAAAACAGCGCATTTAGAAAACAGTTACCGATGATAGATTAAATTGGCTATTCCTCTAAGGTTACACAAAAATATTTAGTAAAAAATGTCTATACCTATGTGGCGGATTCTCTTTCCAAAAAAATCCTGTATGGGTATTTCGCCACTACACTGCAAGAAAATCTACAAAATAAAATAATTATTTTTTGTAAACACTTCTGCGTTATGGTTAAACCAGGGGCGGGAAAGTGAAATAGCAAAAGCGGTTCCACCGTTTCCACGGAAATCTCAAATAAAATAGTTCCAGCCCTAGCCACTAGGTGGTAGTACAATTAATTTTTAGGTTAAGAAGTTGCTACTAGTTATTGCCAGATGGCGTTAAATTAGAATTTTTTTGTAGTTTCCATAGTTTCCAACGGCCATTGTCATATTATTGTCAAATTCTCAAAAAATATTGTCGTTGTCATAGCGCCAATCATAATATTATCAAATAACTGATTATCAAAATGTTTTTCGAACTATAATTTGTTATATGTGTTTTAATTAGACAATTCCTTTTGTTTGTGGCCCTAAAAATATAATGTAAGTCTTTTATTTTTGCCATCATTTAATAAAACCAAAAAGTTTCAAACTTTTCTGTATGATTATTGCCTTTTACGTATGTTATGTTTATTTATCTTGTATCTATTGTTCTTTAAAATCAAAGAAGCGACTGCCATACTTCATTACTGCCATGCATCTGTAGATGTTAGTAATGTATGGCAGTCGCTTCTTTGATTTTAAAGAACAATAGATACAACAAGATAAATAAACATAACATACGTAAAATTTAAAAATAATCCTACAGAAAGTTTGGGGATTTTTGGTTTTACCTTATTAAGTAATTGTTATCAGGTAGTAATTGTTGTCATTTTAACAGAACGTCAACGGTTTCTTGTAACCGTATCCAGGGGGTGACAGTAAACCGGAAAATTGGAAACAGTTCTGGCGCAGTCCTACCCAGGCAGAAAGCATGGCCTTCTAGACTGTCCTAGACAAAAATCTGAATATTTCTATATGATTTCTGTCAATTTCTGTTACGGAACATTTTTATGCACGTCGGCGTCCTCTTCTTTTGTCTGTGTGTCAGCGATGTGTCAACTCCCGAGGCCTCTGGCAAGGTCGAGCGCCATTTTAATTTTTGCCGTTTAGATTTGATTGGAAGTTTGTTTATGATATTTCGGCTGAAGTACAAAGATGTTTTTTGATATAAAGTTCCTTGTTAACACTTTAATAAAGTATATATGATATTAATTACATAAAGAAAATGATGAAATCGACGTTTCTGCGTGTAGTAGGTATGGGCCATATTATATGTAAAAATAGGTAATATATTAACTGTTTTTATATTTTTTTAGCTTTAGATCCAAGGATCTTGGGATATTCTTTGCCAAGGATTTTTCCGTATCTCTACTTTTTTAAAGACTGATCGGAGATTTTGAGCAATTGAAAGCAAGTTACACAAGGTAAATTATTATTATTGAAATATTATTAGCCTACATTAATTATCTACAAGATGAACAGAAATGCGTAATTACATATCACATAGGTACCTATTATGTATTTTCATAGCAATAATGCTATGTATGTAGATTATTTTTTTGTAGATTATTTTTAAAATACAAATGAGGTATTAGATGTATTTGTATCATATTTTCTATTCATTTTATTTTCATTCAAGTCCTGTTTGATTTAATTCACAAAAGTCTTATGTACCTATATTTATGTTTTTTTACATATTTTTTTTGGTTCCAGGTTTTGCGTGGGTTCCTGTTGTCTTTTTCCTGCTTCCAGTTAGTTAGTTTTACGCCCGTGAAGCTGTGAAGACATTTATTTATCTTCATGTTTCTGTAAGTCAGTGCACTGTTACTTTACTAATTCACTTTAACACAGCATCTCTGATGTTATTTAAATATTTTGATATTGATACAGTAGTTTATGTGTTTATAGCTCTTTAATTGTGTTGATTTGCATATTTACATTGTTCTAAATTCCAAATAAATATTTTTGAGTAAATTTTTTGTATTATCATTAACTACTAGAAAGAGTAAAAAGTATATTAACCCTGATTTAAACCTCCTGAACAGCCCGCCATTAAAAACCGGAAACGGAAATAAATTTCATAAAATTGAAATTGTCATGTCTATGTCATTGTCTATGTCATGTCAAATGTCCCAGCCGCCATATCTGAAAATTAGTTACCCAGGCAGCCACGCTGTTTCCATAATTTAACATTGACTTGACACTTCTTCTTGTATTTATTATTTTATGGACGTATCTGTTTTAAAAAAGTAAAGTGTTCTCGAATAGTTGAATTTAAATATTTTAAATAGCTTTTTCTTTATTCTTTGTAATTTTTTTTGCTTCCGACGACGGAAAGAGATAACTTTCCGAAACGTTAAGAATTTTTTTTTTGCTTCGTTAGGCAAATTTGTATTACCGTAAACATAACTTCTGACAAGCAGCGTCCGTTTAGGTTTAACCTAGGGGTTTAACGCAGAAGTGTTTACAAAAAATAATAATTTTATTTTGTAGATTTTCTTGCAGTGTAGTGGCGAAATACCCATACAGGATTTTTTTAGTGTTAATCACATTGTCTAACATTATTAATTACAATATTAAAAAAAATATATTTCCAAAACTTAAAATCGTAAAACTGCAGCGCAATACGCACTGACTAACTGTACTGGCGTTCCGCCTTTTATAATTATTATAATCCACGGTGTTAAACTATTCAAAAAATCGTCTAATTACTTCTTATTTTTGAATGGATTTAGATCAAACCATGTTATTATTATTTATAAAAGTATCTTTGACTGACATCGGGTCAATCAATAATTTTCCCAATCAGCTCGATATATTGATGATAATGCCAGTATTACTCGTCAAGCTATACTCCTGTTATATTAATCAATTAAGGCCGCGTAAATAAACATAATAATTTTATGTACTAATCCATTATAATAAAATTAAATAATAAACATATTGTAGTTATATTCCTGCAGATTGAGTGTGAAAAATGTTATTTTTAAATTATCTACTATACATATTATAAACGCGTGTTCAAATATTAATAAAAAAACTTGTGGAATATATATCAACATTAAACGAGATGTAATTAACGAAATATCATCGTAACAACAGCTATTTTAGAAACGTCTAGGTTTACTTATTTCATTGAGATTTAAGAAAAAAAGTCCTTTGCCTCGGGTACAAATAGCGCCACGTTTCGGAAATAGCTCAAAACGAAACAAAATTGAACGAGGCAACAAGAAACGCCAGAAAAAAACCCACGCCCTCCTCATGAGTAGTTTTCGGGCGCTTTTAAGAATCGAAAGGAATCGAAAAAAGAATTTGTAGCGTTTTAACATATCATATTTTGTTCCTTGGCGAAAAGATGACATTCTAGTAGTGGTAGTAGTTGCATCTTTTTGGACAACGTAAATTAAACAGTCCTCTGTCTTTTTGTACCTTTAATTTAATTTTGGCAATTTTTCGGTTGGTTCCTTTTAATAAACATAGAGTCCAAGACTCCCTAGGTACATAATATTTTCCGAAGAATAAGTATGGAAATCAAGTTTATTAAAAATTGAATTATATTTACTCCATTCTCTGGTAAAAGTATTGCTTAACATTGAAACTTACCTGATCGAAGAACACGAAATATGGATGGAATACTGTAGCATTCAATGGTGAATCTTTACAGATTTTTCTTAAGGCCCTGACCATTTCTTTCTCGTGTTCTGTTCCGGATATGTTCACTGCCTGTATTAAGAATCTCATTGCGATTATATTTTCTTCCTTTTCGTCAAATTTAACGTCCAGGGAATATGGACTTGAGGGCGCAAGCCACAGCTGTAAGAAAATTAAGTTAATTTTATTAAGTTTATCTATGCGAATAAAAACTAAATGGTTGATTAAACTAAAAATTGGTTGGTAACATATTACTTAAGAGACTATTACCACAGATTATACAGATTATAATCTTTGTTTTTTCTTTATTGTTTTTCGTGGTTCCAATTTTCGGAATCGGGTACTAGTTTGCGCACATAGCACGCCCACTTATGGCCTCTAAAATTGTGCACAGCGCTTGACCGGCACAGTTATTAGAGAGATATCGCAAAACCGAATAGCGTCATGCAGTATTTACGCGTACCTTATCATGGTTACGATATGCGCGAGTCAATTTTTAACGCAAAGCCCGCTAATAACGCTACCGCCTGACGTAATTTGCGGATCAATTACACCAAGCGCTATTTCTAAATAACGTTCAAAAATTGCTTAAATGGGCATGTGCGGGTATTTGACAACAGGGGCCGGTCGGCGCACAGTGGGGTATTTGACACCGATAGTTGTGATTCTAAAAAAAAGAAAGAAAAGTCACTGTTCCGGTGTTTCACGGTCAATGCCACTAATGCCAGTAGTAATATCGCAACTAATACTACTAATGCTACGGATGATCTGCGACCAATGCCCATACCACTAAAGCCGGTACTAATGCCAACTTGTGCTATACTGCTAATGGCACTATGCGATCGCTTTGTACACAACAATGCCATCGCAGTTTACACCTCGCATTAGTATATCACTGATTTGCAAATTAGAGGAAACCAAGAATGTTTTTCTCATTTTATCAGCAAAATCGCAAAAAGTCGCAGTATTTTATTTTACTGTATGAAAGCCCAATGTTTACTAAGTAAAACGTCTATAGACAATATGCTGAATTCTTCGAAATGCGCAACTAAATCTCTAAGTAATAATAAAAATGTCACAAATTTAATCAAATTTTCTGAACGCCTAACTTTAGTTGCAAAAAAAAATCGTTAGTATAGAGAATATCAAAATAAATAATATGTTTTTGTAGAATACATACCTTCAGCTTGCTGAGCCATTTTCAATCAAAACAATAATATAAACGTAAAAGAAGCACAAGAACAACAACAATTTATAATTTTAAACATAAAATTTAGCCATTTACCTCTTATCTGTAAGAAGTACATGCCCTAGTCACTCAATGGTAATTTTATGGAACTACAAATTTAGTTTCTTCCGCATCGCCAGACGGCGCAAAAGACATTAAAGTACAGATTTCTAATTTATATATGAAGATGACTACCATCTATGGTCTAGTTTTGGTCTAGTTGTCAAAATGTTGGTGATCCGTCAAGTTATTTTAAACAATAATTATTAATTCAGATATTCCTGATTTGCCGGAAAGTTCGGTGATTTGTGTTTATAGTTTGTGTTTTTATTAGTTTGTGCATTTTGATATTTACAATCGACCATCATTTTCGTGAGATAATAAACTTTTTTTAGCAAAGACCTTTTAGACAGCTTAGATGAATAATATATTTATGAACGAAATAAAAAAAAAGTTTAATCATAAATAAGTAAGTACATAGTTGGTAATATAGTACTTTAACAATTAGTAGTCTATAATATTTTTATTATAATATTATAATTTATTTGTTAAATCAAAAAAATAGGCGCTATGTACTCTATGTTGGTGTTTAAAATGTATGTCCATAATTTTATTTTTAGTTTTGAATATGTTATACTTCTAATGATCTAATAAAACATAAAATATAGTAAACGAGTCTCTATTTATTATTTTATATTTTACAAGGAATAATTTTGCGCTTGAATAACGTTACCGTTTTAGTTAGCGTTAATAAGTAACGGAACGGTAAAATTATGTTATGCCAAAACTCCCCATTAGTTTCTTCCGGATCACCAGGTGGCTCTAAATGACGGACTTATTTGTTTTATATCAGTGTCCAATCTATCTCTAGTACGTGACATTAGTCTATGGAGAAGTAACAACTTTGACGTTTCGTTGAAACGAAATGAATGCAACTAAACACACCCATAGCAACGCCATTCATGGCAGACATGATTTAACTTATCATTTACCTTTTTTTGGGAAATCTTAAACACATTTGCTTTTTCGAATTTCGATCACCCTTTTCATGCCAATACTCGGCCTGTGCGGCGAGATCTTTTATTTTAGGTTATGTTTGAATTGTTTTGAATTACTACTTTACTTTTATTAGGTAGTTTGATATTTAAGTAGCTGGGATTAGTTTTAATTAAATAAATATGGCTCAAAATATGGTTTCCACCTCTTCCAATATTAGAGAATCTATAAAGAGGCTTAGGTTTACAGCAGATGACGACTTAGCCCTTCTAAGAGAATTTGTTGCTTGTTGCTCTAAACCCACTGGCAGACGTTGAACAATAAAGCACTGGAAATAAGCACTTTAGCCCTTTAGTTTTAAAATACCTAGTAAACAAAACAATTTCAAAGTTTTAAATTCAAAGTTAGGTTAAGTTTAAATAGCGGACGCGACGCGAACAGAATGCGTTCCGATCCGATAACTATAAATGAAGAGAATTAATACCACCTCACGTAAAGGAAATAACACCTGGCCTTATTAACGTCCATGCACGCTATTCGGTTTAGCGATCAGTGGTGGCCAAAAGTATGGAAACTTTTTTAATTTGTCATTTATGCTGAGAAATTAAAATATGAAATAAAACGACTTATATATAATCGTGACCTACAAATAATTTCCTATATATATATATATATATATATATATATATATATATATATATATATATATATATATATATATATATATATATATATATATATATATATATATATATATATATATATATATATATATATATATATATATATATATATATATATATAAAGCAGGGGAGTCCTACAGCTTCTGCCGCATCCCGCATTTCGACCTCCATATTGCTCGATTTTGCCATTCTTCCTGGTTAATAGCTCTGTCTCTCATGTACTGGTCTACTCCATCTAATCACGTAGTTGTAGGTCTTCCTCTTTTCCTTCTGCTTTGGGGACGATACTCCATTGCCCTTTTTGGCCATCTTTCCCCTCCCATTCTTTTTACGTGCCCATACCATAGTAGCTGTCTCGATTCGATGTTGTCGGTGCTGGTATATATTCACCTTGTTCTTTGCCTGATCTCCTCATATCTAATGTGTTCCATCCTTGATATGCGACATGCTCTTCTGAGAAAGTCCATCTCCACTGACTCGACCATCCTTCTTTCTTTTGCTGTAAATTGCCAGCATTCGGCACCGTATGTTAAAATTGGATCTACGATTGCTTTTGTAAATTCTTATCTTTGTTTGGATGGATGTTTTATTTGACCACAGGAGAGGGTTTAAAAGACCGATTACTTTCTTACCTTGTTGAACTCTACTATGTATATCTTTCTTGGAGTTCCTTACTTCAGATATAATACTTCCTAAATATTTATATTCGCTACATCTTTTAATTTCATGTATGTGTAGTTCAGGATTTTCAGTTTGTTCTTCTCTTACTTTCAGGTATTCGGTTTTTGTGAGGTTGATATTGAGTCCCCATCTGTCGTATTCTTCCTCAAGTTTCCTGAACATATAGTCGGCATCCTCCTCACAACCTGCAACAATAACTTGGTCGTCTGCAAAGAACAAGGTCGATAGACAGTGGTTGTCAATCTCTATTCCCATAGCTCTACTCTTCCTTCTCCAGTTTTTCAATGCCTCCTGGATATATATTTTAAATAAGGTAGGTGATAAACTGCACCCCTGTCTAAGTCCTTTAGATGTCAGGAAGGATTCCGATAGGAACTTCCCCTGTCTGATCATACTTTTTGGATTTTTGTACATATTCCAGATTGCATTGATATATGTTTTACTCACATTTGCCTCAACCAAGATTTCAAATAATTTCTTCAAAGGCACCATGTCATAGGCTTTCTCTAAATCTATAAATACCAGATGCGTGTCCAAATTTCGAGCTCTCCTTTTTTCAATTATTTGTTGTAACACAAATATGTTGTCTATACAAGAACGCCCAGCGCGGAAACCACCTTTGTTCTTCTATTTCTTCAAACAAGCCATACAACCTTCCCATTGAGCTTGTCAAACTAATGCCTCTGTAGTTGCTACATCTTTTTTTGTCTCCTTTCTTAAAGATAGAGCTGATGTACGCCAGGTTCCAGTCTTCAGGAATGTTTTCATTTTTTATCAGGCATCTGTTGAAGATATCAGCTAGTATTTCCAATAATATATCGGGTCCATGCTTTATTAGCTCAATGAAAATGTTTCCCGGCCCCGCAGCTTTTCCATTTTTTGAGTTCTTCAATGGTTTCTTTATCTCGTTTACACTTATTTCATTTACATCAATAATTTCCTACAAAACCTAATACATTTAAATAAAAAATTACAGCTATCAAAAAATATATAAAAAATTATGAATATTTTCTTGGTCAAAAGTATGGAAACTTAAGAAGAATGTTTATTAAAATTCAAGATAATATAAAAATTACTAATATTTAGTGGAATATCCCTTTTTTTATATATCCCTTTTGAATTAATTACTTCTCTACATCTTCGTGGCATCGAATCGATCAATCTCGTACAATCTTTACTGGAAATGCCCGCCCATTCAGTTGTTAGCACTTCCCATAATTCATTTTTATTTGAAATAGAATGGCTTCGAATTTTGCTATCCAAATGATCCCATAAATTTTCTATGGGGTTAAGATCCGGAGACTGTGAGGGCCAATCCATTAGTGGAACATTATGTTCATTTAACCAATTTTGAACAAACCGAGATTTGTGCTTGGGATCATTGTCTTGCTCGAACAACCATCTGAGTGGCATTTCTTCATCAGCATGAGGCAGTATATTATTCTCCAATATGTCTTTGTACAAAAAAACGGTCCATTATCCCATCAATTTTAACAAGAGAACCAACACCTGAGCGAGAAAAACACCCCCATACCATTATACTCCCACCCCCATGTTTTACTGTGGGCATCTGGCTGTACCGTGTACCTTTTGGTCTTCGAACATAACGTCTCCCGTCACTACCAAACAGTTGAAACTTGCTTTCGTCGCTAAACAGTACAGTATTCCATTTCTAATAAGACCAGGTGAGATGATCTTGAGCAAATTTAAAGCGGGCCATCCTATTATTCTTTGATATTAGTGGTTTCTTCACCGCAACTCTTCCAAAAAGTCCCATGTCATCCAACCTTCTTCTCACCGTGCGTGCAGATACCGATATTCCCCTTTCACCCATTTCTCGAGAAATGTCTGTGGATGTTTTTCTTGAATCTCCCATTGATATTCTCTTCATTACTTTCATTGTCCTGTTGCACAACTTTCTTGGTCTTCCTGAGTTAAAAGCTGTTGAAACGTTCCCTGTTTTATTAAATTAACGAATTATTTTCGAAACGGTGCTTTTTAAAATGTTTAAATTTTTACTTATTTGAATTGGTTTATAACCGCTCTTGTATAATTGAACTATTTTATTTTTTAAATCCGTAGAGAAATATTTAGACTTGGGCATGATGTTTATATTTATCTGAAGCAAATCGTACCGTTTATCAGCTTAAACTAAATAATTTTAATGTATTTATTTATGGTTTCCATACAAGAAATCTATTGTTCTCCTACAAAAACTGCTAGACAGATTTTTTTCGCTGTGTAATTTTTGGAATACTTTTATTTGCTGATAAGCTGTTCATTTATATTCCTGAGAGTTTAAGCATAGCAATATTTTCTGTAATATTTTAAAATGTAAAAAGTTTCCATACTTTTGGCCACCACTGTATCTCTATTACGCTGTTTATTGTTATTTTACGCGAGTTTATTTTTGCGCACAGGAAATTTTACTCGTTTACACATCGTCATAAAAAACAATTTTCGTACCACGAATTAGGGATCAGATTTTTATCTGTATACATATAGTATACTTAATCTGTGCTATTACGCTGTACTGTTCAGGGGTCGGGTAAAGCGGGTGTGTGGCCGAAGGAAATATATTATATTATATTTCATACATCTGCCTCAGGCTTAGCTCAACCCTGCCGTGTTAAGCCGCACTCAAAATTGATTAAGGCTTAATTATGGTTTGTAGAGCTTCAGCATTTGCCAAAAAATAGCGAGCAATTTGTTACAAAACTATATAAATTATATATCACTGTAATCACAAAACTTCAATCTATTTCCCTATTGTAACGAAATTTTAAATTATGTCTTTATTTTCGAAAATAATTAGCTCAAACATAAGGAATATTTTGTTGATGTTTGACCATCAAAATCTTAAAAATAAAGAAGTTGTTTAAAAATGTGCTACAATACGGATATAGTATGATCCTTTATCTTTAATTTCCTTCTTCATTTGTGTAAAAATACCTAGCCAGTTTTACATAAAACGTTAAATGCCGAACGCTTATTTTTCTACTTTTTCAGACGAGCGATATGGACACTTAAGAGAAGTATCAAATAACATTTATAAGAATTTGAAAACTTCAGTCTCTCTGTCAATAATCTCATAATAATATAAACGTGCCAGATATTTACTTGCCTCTTTTAATTCCGTACTGAATTCCTTTTGAGTCTTTATCGAAATATTCAAATAATCTTTGTTCCTGTCGATGTATTGTAAAAAGCTTCTTAACCAGGAATCGGTAAGGAGAGCGGAAATATAGGAAGTGTTTTCGAACGTTTGCGTTAATTTTTCCACCTCTTTTTGAATTTTTGGGTCCGAGTAATCGTACTCACCGGATACTATAACTTGAACTCTGAAATAATTAATAATTAAATTTAGTTTTATACAGGGTGGTCGTAATTGTATTCGGGAAACTTCGGCAGCATATTTTACAGATATAAAAATAAAATGCTTAGTTTCTGAGATACAAGGTGTAGAAATTTCATTTTTATTTCGATTTTTTCCAAGTAATTTCTGAACTATAGTTGACCACTAGTTGATATTTGGATTAAAATTGGTGTCTGCGAGTTTTTTTTTCGCCGCCTACATATTTTTTTTGTAAAAGTAATAACTTTTCGTCTGTACCTGTATAAAACTACTGTGTAGAATGTAGAATGAGTAAGAGGGGGGGGGTTAAACTACTGTGTAGAAACACGAATATTTACGACGTTTTTTTAATGTAAAAAATGTCTCTTGGTAAAAATTGCTACGAGAAATGGTTTTCGAGATATTTGGAATCTAAGGCTGTATTCCGTTGCAAAACCAGACGAACCAGACCGGTAAACTACGATAAAGAGCGGTTCCTGAAAAACATCGGTTTGATACGGAACGCTTTGGTAAAATACTGGAAACGTCAAATGTTGACGTTTTCTAAATTTCAATACCTCTATTATAAAATGTATCTTTTATGCACTTTTAATATACCTATCACCGTCAGGAATCTAGACAAGAGTACTTAATTGATTCACCAAGAAACATCGACGTACAGGGAAAAGTAGTTGAAATATCGAAAGAAACAATAAGAATGGCTGCCAAGAACTTAAAATCTTGGTAAGCTTGGCATTAATAGTAGCTTGGCATTAATTTTCAATATTTGCTTAAACGGACATCCCGTTCCAGAAGACTGGAAGCTGGCTTATATGTCTTCGATCCATAAAAAAGGCAATAAGCTGGACTGCAGTAACTACCATGGTATATCAGTGACGAGCACAATGAGCAGGTTATATGGTAGAATTTTACGGAATCTCATAGAAGAAAATTATAGAGAAAAGGAGGAAGAAGAACAGAATGGTTTTAGAGCAGGAAGGTCGTGTACAGATAACGTGTTTAAAACAAGTTATAGAAAAAAGATCGGCAATAAACTTGGACACACATATAACATTTGTTGACTTACGGAAAGCGTACGACACTGTCCCAATATCAAGACTGTGGAGGGTACTAGAACAATCTACGATTAACCATACTTATATATCAGCTCTTAAGGAACTATATAAGGACGCAAAATCAAAAATAAAGGTAGGAAAAGAGCTTAGAGAAACAGTTATAACCGACAAAGGTTTGCGTCAAGGTTGTTGCATCTCCCCTACTCTCTTTAAAATATACGTTGCAGTCGCTTTAAAAAATTGGAAAAGAAAGACCCGTGGTATGGGTATAGAGATTGACAATGAATGTTTGTTCACACTTCAATTCGCAGACGATCAAATAATAGTTGCCAATGACAAAGATCATATGCAATATATGCTAAGAAAACTTATTGAAGAATACGGAGAATGGGGCTTGACAGTTAACATAGTCAAAACAAAATATCTATGTATAGGCACACAAGAAGGAAACTTGAACTTGGACAACGGTCACGAAATTAAGCAGTGTCAAGAGTATGAGTACCTGGGAATTACATTTGATAACACTGGAACTGACGGCAGAGAAATAGAGAAAAGGATTATCAACGCGAAAAAAATAATCGGATGTCTAAATGGAATCTTATGGAGCAAATCAATAACAAAGCGAAGAAAATTCAATATATATGAAACCATGGTAAAGAGCAACCTCCTGTATGGAGTAGAAACATGGAGAATAACTGAGAGATACAAGAAGAGGATAGAGGCCGTAGAAATGGATGTCATTCGAAGATCAATGGGAATTTCAAAACAACGAATAAGAAATAATACCATAAAACAACAAATGGGCATAGAAGGTACGATAACAGGATATAGAGATAAAGCAGCTGATCTGGTACGGACATGTAGAGCGAATGAAGGACACTAGATGGCCCAAGAAAATAATCAATTGGCAACCAAAGGGCAGAAGAAAACAGGGAAGACCGAATCTGGAATGGCAAAAAAGCGTACACAAAGCGATGAGTGAAAGAAACCTGTCAACAGAGGATTGTACGAATAGAACAGGCTGGAAATTGGATACCAGACAACGTAGAAAAACGTTCTAAACCGACTTATATATATATATATATATATAATATACCTATTCTCTGCTTTTACGTTCTGCTTTTATTCTCTACTTTTCTTTTTTCTGGGTGGTCACGTTTTATGGACCTTCACTGATTTATCTTTCTTAACTACTAACAATAATTATTGAGGCTATTAAACAGGTTGCTTCAAGCCCTGCGACTATTCAATTATGCATGCATTCTACGAGTACTAATGATTAGTTTAAAAAATTATATATTTCCCAAATTTATCATTTCAGTCAAATAACTATGGAGCCAACATGTTTATTTTATTACAAGTATTAATAATCTCTATTCCAAATATTTTGAGAACGGTTGCTCGTAGCGATTTTTACAACGAGACATTTTTTACGTAAAAATGACGGAAATGCATGTATATTTTTCCACTCAGTCGTTTTATACAGGTACGGACCAAAAGTTTTTACTCTTAAATACAATTAATAATAAAATAGAAAACAAATTTCTTGCAGTAAAGGTATATAATAAAATTATATAAGGATTCTTGCCACTTAACTGCTGATATAGAAATTTAATTCTACGCTATGTTTGTCATAATGCGGATCAACCTGCTCTCACTACCGGTTTCGGAGCCCTACTCCATCATCAGATGAGCTTGGGCAGATCCACAAAATGACAACCACAGCGCAGAGATAGTTAATTCCGACTTGTCGGAAAGTGTCGGTTAGATATTAAGTCCTGAACGGTAGATAGCGGCCTGCGTGCAATGGTAGTACTTTCGTACCACCGAGGCGCAACTATCAATAGTAAAAAGATGGTAAAAGACTTTTATTCAGGCAAGCCAATTTATAAAATAGAAAACAAATTTCTTGCAGTATAGGTATATAATAAAATTATATAAGGATACTTGCCACTTAACTGCTGATATAGAAATTTAATTCTACGCTGTGTTTGTCATAATGCCCAAACTCACCTGATGATGGAGTAGGGCTCCGAAACCGGTAGTGAGAGCACGTTGATCCGCATTATGACAAACACACCGTAGAATTAAATTTCTATATCAGCAGTTAAGTGGCAAGAATCCTTATATAATTTTATTAATAATAAATATACATATACAAAAAAAATATGTAGGTTATGCCCCCTGCAAGTAGGAGTCATATTGACATCAAAATCAAATTTTCCACTTCTAAAAACACCCCGAAACCAATTTTCATCCAAATATCTGCATTTTTTTTCACAACACGGGGCCATCCTCTGCCGGAAACACTGTGACCTGTGAGGCCTATTGTGTTTGTCCCCTTTCTATATCTGCACCCATTCTCCTATCCCTGCACTAACTTATGCAGGTCCTTGATAGGATGGGAGCATAGTTCCTCCGGTTCTAGCCTAGCTTTCCCAAATAAAAAGTGTCGCTTGCGATCCAGAGCCTCGTAGTAACATATTATGTGCTCCGCTGTTTCAGGATCTTTATCGCAGAGTCTGCAGCAAAGACTTCCTTGATACAGGTTGAGCCTGTTCAGGTAACACTTGACAGTCATGTGTCCTGTCAAGAGGCCTGTTGTAATCCGCAATTTATTCCTGCTAAGCATTAGCATTTCTTTTGCGGTTTTAGAGCTAGGTCCTTGGATAAAAGCCTTGCTCTGCCTGTGTCCCTGTCTGTTTCTCCAGTGGACATTCTGCTTTTCCCTGACCCAGAATTTTAGTGCACTACGGGCCATACATTTGGGTATTTGCAGTACTGGTTCTGGACCAAAATAGGATGCCGATGATCCTTGCCTAGCTAGCTCATCGGCTTTTTCATTGCCTTGGATGCCGCTGTGGGCCGGCACCCAGAATAATTTAATTCTAAATATCTGCATTAGTTCAGAAGTTATTTGGAAAAAAACGAAATAAAAATGAAATTTCTGCACCCTGAATCTCCAAAACGAAGCATTTTAGGACATAAATTTATACGGTCTTGTTTACCTATTTTAATAGGCATAATATGCTGCCGAAGTTTTCAGCATACAATTTAGGCCACCCTGTATAGCTAATTGATCATCATGGATGTATTTCTTGAGATGTACGTGGTAATGGATAATAACGTGTGGTGTTTTTTTTCTTTAATGCCACAGTTGAATGGCGGGAGCTCAAACTCCTTAAATTTTTTTTTTCTTTGAAAATTTACTAAATACTATATTGAATTTTAAACAGTCTGAGAAATGTAAAGGAGGTTTCTACAACAAGCGAAGAATTATCAAGGGTGCTCTTCTTTTATAATTTATAAAATACTGAAATATAAAATACCTATAGGGAAACTCTCTGTAGTAATCGTCTTCTCTGTCAAAGAATTCTATTGCATATGAATCGTTCTTCGCAACTTTTCTCCGTTCCAGACCTTCTTCTATTTGCGTAATACCATATCCGGCGCCAGCAAGATAAACGGCAAAAATCAGGATAACCATAACTTTAACACAACCATTGTTTAAGAATACTAGAAAAAATAAAGATTTTTTATGTAAAGAAAATAGTTTATTATTTAATGGTTATTACCTGAAAAGTAGTCTCTGAAAAATACCATCATTCCATGTTCTTGATTATCTTTGGGATTGTCCATGTCATCTGGATCAACACCGCCACTGCAAAATATTCTGTACAAAAAACATCTGTTTTCTGAAATTAATAATACAATCTTATTCCAAAAAATACTAAATAAAAAAACAAAATATAAAAAATTAGATATTATTTAATATTTGTTGCAAGGAGAGAACACAATGACAGTGGCAGTTGGTATCTATTGAATGTAGAATGAGTAAGAGGGGGGTTAATCACTGCGACCTTAAAGATCTATTGTGCCCCCTTCCTTGAGTCATCACACAATCTATAACCCATCATACCCCTGTTGTAGAGGGGACAGGGTATTTACCATCATCTTTGACAACAGTTCTTCCTCCGAGTACACACCCTTCCACGGTTGGAGTTTGGCCCTCCGTGCCGCTCTTCACAATCGAGGAGCTTGCCTCCGGCTGAGGAGCCCATAAGGTGGAGGCTGGAGGATCTGTATCAATTTTCTCCACCTCTTTAACTTGGTCTCTCCTTAGACGTGATACCGGTGTTGTCCCGTATCTATAATAGAGGATATGTCCCTCTCCCTCTCTATTGCCTCCTTGGATTTGAGGTCAATTCCTATTGTGAGGACTTGACCATGACTCTCCTCCCTCGAGTTGATGACTTGCCTACTCGATGTCCTTACATTGAAGTTCTGACTTTGGATAAGGCCCAGCAGGTAGGTGGTGTCTTTCCCCTTGCTCCTCGGCAGAAAGACCGTTATGGCCGCCCCTTTAGGGATGTTTTCTCCCTTCACTGCAACCAGTTCCGGCTCTTGCCAATTTTTAAGCTTTGGTGCGATTTCCACCAAACAATTCGCCGATTCTTGAGATACACAATCTATGAGGAGCATACCCACCCGAAAAGTGTAGATCGTTGTGTTGCGATCCGATTGCCACTACCAGTGGCGGACTAAGGGGGCGGAAGGGGCGGTCCGCCCCGGGCCCCTTCTTCTAGGGAGCCTCCAAATCTTAATAAGTAATTTTTATTCAACTGGCAAACAGGCCAATATGTGTTCAGTAGTTATAAAGCAATTTGTAGTTAGAGTATGCAAACCATAAGTATACGCAAACTAAACAGTACAAATGGAAGCAGATATTTACTTAATTATCAAATATTAGGCCCCAGTAATTGTCAATGATATTTTTCTATTTACGAAATTAAATCAAGGGGTAATTTTCTTTGTTTACAATATCGAATAATTATTATTTTTTATATTCGAATAATTATTATTTATTCTTGGACCTATATAGGAGTATACCGCGATTTTGTAAAGGGCCCCTTACAAAATCGCGGTATTTACCTGGAACGGTCGCGAAAGTAACGCGGCTTATATGTGGAACCGGTATTGTAAAAAATGTCTATACCTATGTGGCGGATTCATCTATCCAAAAAAATCCTTATGGGTTTTTCGCCACTGCACTGCAAGAAAAATCTACAAAATAAAATAGTTATTTTTTGTAAACACTTCTGCGTTAAACCCTAAACGGACGCTGCTTGTCAGAAGTTGTGTTACAGTAATAAAAGCAAGCCTAACAAAGAAAAAAATGCTTAACGTTTCGGAATGTTTTCTCTTTCCGTCGTCGGAAAAAAAAATATAAAAAATCAAGAAAAAAACTATTTAAAATATTTAAATTGAACTATTCGAGAACACTTTACTTTTTAAACCGATACGTCTACAAGAAATCGTTGACGTTCTGTTAAATTGACATTATATTAAGTTAAACTTCAAAATTAACAATTACTACCTGATAATCACTTAATAAGGTAAAACCAAAAAAGCCCAAACTTTCTGTATGATTATTTTTAAATTTTACGTATGTTATGTTTATTTATGTAATGTTCTTTAAAATCAAAGAAGCGATTGCCATACATTACTAACATCTACAGATGCATGAGCAAATGGTTATTTTATTAGATTGAAAATGTGATAAGCCTTTTTATTTTTCTTTTAGAGGCTATCGCTTCTTTCATTATAATTTTGGCGTTATTAAAATTTATTCTGTGCCCTGTGTCCCATGAATGCTGACAAATCTTAGATTGGCGAAAATCTCCCTTTCTTAAATAATCTTTATGTTCTTTAATTCTAACATTTAAGGGTCTAGATGTTTCACCAATGTAAAATTTATCGCATTTTGTAATATACCAAATACCCTGTGAATGCGATAAAAAATAGTCAATAATTAAAAAGTTTTTCCTCTTGTAATCTGTGTCTGTCATTTCCTCTCGGTGCGTCCCAGAAATAAGTGCTAGTATTTTCACTGGTAGTATAGTTCAACCCCAGAAACACGCATATGAGTTTTAATTAAATATATATAAAATTGAAAACTTCGCAAAAAAATTTTTGGGAATTTTTTTAGTTTTTAGTTAAAAAAAAAACATAATTTCTTGTTACTATGACAACATAGGTATTAGATTAAATTTACAAGAAAGAAAATCAAGAAAAGATGCAGTGGTTCTCAAAATTTTAGCAAATTTTCGTTGTAAAATAACTCCGTTATTTTGGACTTATTGAAAAACGATAAAGAAAAAATATGTTTCTTTTATCTACCACCCCTTAAAATACTTGCACTTATTTCTGTGACACCCTGTATATATATATATATATATATATATATATATATATATATAGTATATATATATATATATATATATATATATGTATATATATATATATTCATATATATATATATATATATATATATATATATATATATATATATATATATATATATATATATATATATATATACAGACCGGGGCCACATTTAGCTTTGCCGCCCCGGGCCCCCGACAGGCTTAGTCCGCCACTGGCCACTACTTCGTTCAGTATAGTCTCTTCTAGAGACGTTTGCTGGTCGGTGGTCAGAGCAATCTCTGAGAAATCCTTTGGCACCACCGCTATTTTCACTTATCCAGCAATAGGGGCAAAGCTGGTGATACGTCCCTGCTTGCCTCCCGGTGTTGGACGGCTTTTCATCCTGGTTCTTTTCTCTCTCCCTCCCTCGTATCTGTTATCAATAAATCACCTACTAAAAAGCTCTGTGGAAGAAACTGGAACCCCAAACCGACCACCCTAAGGACTCTACGGCTTGTCCCATTTATTGTAGATCCACTATGCTAAGCAAGTCGATGTGGCTGTGAATGGGACGTGCAGAATAACTACTACTAATAGTACTAAATAATAATATGCAGTATTCAGTCTTAAACTAGGAGATATTAGTTTCTTATATCGCCAAGTAACCGCCTTTCAGTTAAATATCAATAACTTAAAAAGGTTTTTGTTAATGATTTTGTTACTTACGTGATTTTGATAAGGGCTGGACCTTGAAGCAAAATATCGAGTGTAAGTTCTTTTGTTCGCAATATCCAGATATAGCTACGCAAGCCGCGAAGAACGTTAAATGCCAGATGAAAAGAAATACAGTTGCTGCACCTGAAAATAATAATTATATCAGATATAATGTCATATGTACGAATAACATAGTAAACCACGAACTCGTAATTTGATTGAAACTTATCTATTTTAGTCTCCGACGTTTATTCTTTTTTTATTTGAGTTTAATAGTTCGCTGTATATGTTCAAAAGTTAAAGGACAAAGTAGGTTACTAATAGATGATGATTTTGGATTTCCACTATCATTATTAGCCGACCATACCAATGTATAGCCTACCAGGTATGGTAGGCTATACATTGGTAGGCTATTAAGATCGGCAAAAAAAAGTTTTTTTAATTTCACTCAAAATGAGTTATTTGGGCCTTAAATGACCTAAATACAAAATATTTTCATGGTGTCTGTCTGTCTGCCCGTCTGTCTGTCCGTCTCTAACACGATAATTCAAAAACCGCTGAACCGATTTTAACCAAATTTGGCACAAAAATACTGTGGCACCCGAGAATCTGGCCATTAGTTTTTGGTGGGGGTGGGGTGTTGGTAAGGGGGTATGGGAGTGGGTTAAAAATTTTAAAAAATCGTAACCCCAAAATTACAGTAGCTAGCGAAACGCGGTTTTCAAATTAAGATTAGGAATAATATTTGCAACAAAATTTGTAATAACATCAAAATCAGTCAAAGTCGCAGTTTTTGAGATACTAACATATTTTAGTATGGGCGGCTATACGTGCCTCCCGGCGCCAATTTTTTTTCAACTATTTTAATAGTTTATTACTAAATTATCGAAAATAATCTATTTTATCTTTATGAAGTTTTATATTACCATCTAATTATTTTTTATATTAGCACCTTATCTTTGTTTCTTTAAATAAATCGGTGTTAAAAATTGTATTGTAGATTTTAGATTTGAACATTTTTCTGTTATTATAATTAAATTTTTAATGTTTTAATAAGTTTACAGTTGAGGGTTGGAACCTTTGGTGTTACACAGCAAAATAAAACACTAAATCACCACAATACACCAAAACACTTTTAGTTTTACACTGGACGGGCGTTTCGCTAACCATGTTAGCATCATCAGCAGATGATTAAAACCAAAGATATTTAAACTCGGGAGATACAATGATCGATTCATAAAACGCTCTAAAGCTTCATCATACGACATTGGTTTGCGAAAATCAACGAGTGTAAGAGAGAATGGATAGAGAAGGAAATAAGGGTATCTGCTCGAGGCAACAATGTAGTTGTGTACAAAGATTAGACGTTTGAGGTCAATTTCCAGTGGCGTGCCGATCGACCGACGAAGTATTTTAAGGAAATTAAAATAATTGTTTAATAAATTAAAATAAAATAATAATAAGACTTACATCTTACATATTTGTCGCATGGTAAAAAAAAAATAAGTTGAGGGAGGATAGCGAAATAAAATAAAAACCGGCATCATTTTTTATTATAAGATGGCTTTTCACATAAGAATAACGATTAAAAAATTAATAGCGTTTTTTACTATATTTTATTAAATAAAATATCAAATTTTAGGTGTATTAGTAAATGCAGTTTCAATATCTTGGAATAACCTTGTTCGTCTCTGGCGAATTAGATTCCCTCGATTAGCAATAACAAAATAAAATATTTATTTTAACCTAATAACACAATATTTTATATATAAAATAATACAAACTTTATTATTATATACCTATATGAATTTTACAACTACAATAAAAAACAGTGAATAAAATTTAAAATGTGCCTTATAATTTTTATTAGTTCCCAATTGTTCATTAATGAGGGAATAAGAAGTAAGAAAATTCAACATTTATTTACCTTAACTTTTATTTTAGGGATGTTTCAAACACAGTAAATCAGAACTGAAAATATAAGATGTATATTATACCGTATGATCGAATAAAAACGGCGTCAGCGATGGCTATGGAATGAAGATCTTATTTTTATATAGATAGATTTTATATGTAAATTTATATAGGAAATGCCATCGATCGTCATTTCCAAGCCAACTGGATGCCGTTTTTATTCGATCATACGGTATGTGTTTATCTAAACAAAATTATTTGATATTATAATACACAGTCATCAGAAAAGTCTAGCGATAATTTTACAAAATCATAAATAAAATAAAATGATGATTGTTTAGTAAACGGTTCTTAGTTTAAAATTTTTTTTTCTCTTGTTTGCGAAGGAAAATTGATATTCGTTTATAAATAATAAAAAGTGCATGTGCAAAGAATTTCAATACAATAAAATGTAAGAAAGTCATAAAATTCATGTAATAAGAACATTAATTATATGTATCTCAAAAGATGTCCATTTACATTATAACAACCAAATTTTAAAACAAAAGCCGTATAAAATTATAACGGCAACAAAAAAAGTAAGGCCACAAAATTCCATCTTTGGTACACCCCAATAAAATTTTCACAAAAGGTAGGTAATGGTTTGTCAAACCCAAGTAGGTACCTAGATTAGATTTATTCTTATAAGAAAGTACGGTTTTTCGAAAATAGATGTTGTTTATAAATTACATGCGGTTTATAGAACTTAAATTTAATTTTTAACATTCAATACCCTTTCTTAAAAGGGAAACAGAAATTGTTATTAACTTATTGGTAATTAGTATGTACCATGTACCTTTTTCCTACAAATAATTTAATTAATAAATATATCATTTAAAAAACATAATAAATATATGATTTAAAAAATAAACCTAAAAATATAATTTAGAGATCTGCTATTTTTATGTCTAGGTACGCCTCTGATCTACAGAGAGTAGGATATAGTAAGATACCTAACCCTACTTATTTGTATTTACCGGTGAAAAGTTAAATTTGGATTTAAATGATACACTCTCTTGTACACAATACATGAATGCACCATATTTTCAAAATAATGTCCACAGAAGTCCACAAAATAACGCAAAAATACTATAATACTGCAAATAAAGAATATGGAGCTTGATCGGCAGCATAGCAACATTGCAAAAGGAGAATCTAGGATTTTCCATTCATCCTCGAAATACGTTGTACTACGCCGGCATATTTCTAAAACTGACGTTGTCAAACTGCTTTTTATTATTAAAAGAAACACGACCATAATATTTTTATTCCATTATAAAATTTAAAATAGTAAAGCAGTTAAGCATTAAATGAATAAATTGACGTTAGCAAATTAATGTGGTTGATATATTACAAAAATATAACGAAATTATTTATTACTTAATAATTGGTTGTGGTATTTAATTGAATACTAATACCAATATACAGGTAAATCTGGCAAATGTTTTCGGTGTAAGAGAGATGGAAAAATAAGGATAGAATAATGGCTGATGAAAGAGAAAGGTAAACAGTTGTATCTCTTTAGTTTAAATATCTTTGATTAAAACTCAAGATCAACGGAACTTCAGTTTTAATCATCTGCTGATGATGTTAACATGGTTGGCGAAACGCGCGTCCAGTGTAAACGTAAAAGTGTTTTGGTCTATTTTGGTGATTTAGTGTTTTATTTTTATAGTAAGTACTGACCTGAATATATGCAGAAGATGGTAACAGATGGAAATGGACTGAAAATACCGATCCAAAAACTGAAGAAATCCGTGACTGACGTAATTGTGATTGAAACAGCAGCTTCGCTTAACATTTGAGCCATTCGTTCTGGAACTGATGTTTTGATGGACGTTCTTCTCCAAGCCGCCAACATAACGAAAGTATCGTCAATTCCTATTCCTAAAAATTAATGTTTTGATTGTACTTAACTCACTGTAAACTGTTAGATATTAATTTCTAAATTACTATGCAGGGTGAGTTGTTTTCGATGGTCTCTATGGGTATCTAGGAATCTACAGAAGACTCTCAGTAGTATCACAGATTAAGTATACTATATGTATACAGATAAAAATCTTATCCCTAATTCGTGGTACGAAAATTGTTTTTTATGACGATGTGCAAACGAGTCAAATTTCCTGTGCGCAAAAATAAACTCCCATAAAATAACAATAAACAGCGTAATAGAGAGATATCGCTAAACCGAATAGCGTGCATGGACGTTAATAAGGCCAGATGTTATTTCCTTTACGTGAGGTGGTATTAACTCTCTTCATTTATAGTTATCGGATCGGAAACAATTCCGTTCGCGTCGCGTCCGCTATTTAAACTTAACCTAACTTTGAATTTAAAACTTTGAAATTGTTTTGTTTACCAGGTATTTTAAAACTAAAGGGCTAAAGTGCTTCTTTCCAGTGCTTTATTGTTCAACGTCTGCCAGTGGGTTTAGAGCAACAAGCAACAAATAATTCACTTAGAAGGGCTAAGTCGTCATCTGCTGTAAACCTAAAGCTTGTTTCATGTAGACGCGAATTGCGAATTGCGGAAAGCGATTCGCCAAAAAATATTCGCAAAATTTGGACCTATTTCATACAGTCGCGAATTTTTAGGGACATTTCATTTTTGCTCCACTGAAAGTTACCAAAAAAATCATAACCTGAGATAACTTAATTTGTTTTTTATTCGTGTTTACGACCTTTATTTTATATTTTATAGCATACAATAGCTTACTTTGGGTTTCTCTTATTACCGATTCTGAACCGTCCTAGAACTGTGATGCGTATGCGCAAAAGGAAATATGAAGACATTATTTCATTTGCGCATGCGCTGCAGAGTTCTAGGACGGTTCAGAATCGGTAATAACAAGAACCCGAACAAATCTAATATGAATTCAAATTTGTTTAATGATTATGAGTATTGATTACGATTGTGGGATTGGAACAGAAGGCGTAAAATTGTCATTTACTTATTGTTAAAACGTAGAAGAGAACGGTCATTTGGGACATGTGAAATATTTAAATTTCGTAAGCAACAAGGGTGCTTATCGCAATTTAAATCAAGAAATGAGGAGAAAAGATGAGAAAAAATTTAGGAATTTTTACAGATTGTCTGTACAGGAGTTTGATAACTTGGTTGAAAAATTGTCACCATATATATATATATCAAAAACATATCATAAACATATGCACGAGAACCCATTTTACCTAGAGAAATCCTTTCAGTTACTTTGTACTTTGTCAGTGTCGTCAAAATAATCGATAACCTCTCACAACACTATTCTGCGCAAACGCGAACCTTAAAATCGCGCGAATATTCGCAAAAAGTTGAAAACACTTTAACTTTCCCGCGCCCAAATTTTAAATCTTGCGAATCACCAAAATCTTAAAATTTCTGACAGCGCCGCCATGTTCATTAAAATTGGACCAATGAGAGCAGTTTCGCAAAATCGCGATTCGCGATTCGCGTCTACACGAACAAGGCTTAAGTCTCTTTATAGGTTCTTTAATATTGGAAGAGGTGGAATCCATATTTTGGGCCATATTTATTTAATTAAAACTAATCCCAGCTACTTAAATATCAAATGACCTAATAAAACTAAAGTAATAATTCAAAACAATTCAAACATAACCTAAAATAAAAGATCTTCCCGGCCGGCCCCGGTTGTCAAATACCCGCACATGCCCATTTAAGCAATTTTTAAACGTTATTTAGAAATAGCGCTTGGTGTAATTGATCCGCAAATTACGCTAGACGGTAACGTTATTAGCGGGCGTTGCGTTAAAAATTGACTTGTGCATATAGTAACCATGACTGACCATGATAAGGTACGCGTAAATACTGCATGACGTTATTCGGTTTTGCGATATCTCTCTAATAACTGTGCCGGTCGGGCGCTGTGCACAATTTTAGAGGCCATAAGTGGGCGTGCTATGTGCGCAAACTAGTCATCTAACTAGCGCCCGATTCCGAAAATTGGAACCACGAATAACAATAAAGAAAAAACAAAGATTATAATCTGTGGTAGTATTGACTTCAGTAAAGTAATGTAAAAGATTTCATTTAACGTCTCCTTTTTGCTGCCAGGGCTAATCTGGACGGGGACTACTTTGTTTAAGCAGAATCCGAACCGCGGTCTCGGCCATATCATGGTCAATGGCCTACCGACTTGGCAAGTACCTAAATTGACTCTTACTCACGAGATATCCGATCTCATCCGGCCTCGAACCGGCGTGAATGAGCAGTGTGTGTCAATAGATTTTACACTTTTGCCTTTTTTTTTTGGACAACAGCACGATACAGAGTTTCGAACCGGTCACCCGTCCATCCACTAGTATCGCCTTACGTCGCTTAACTTCGGTGTTCTAATGGAAATCGGTGTTTCGACGTAGCTGGGCCGTTACCTGACTTCAGTAGTTTCCGGGATACCGATAGAGAACATCGAAAAAACTCACCCTGTTTAATATATTAACTTAATATATTAAACAGCGATGAGAACTATCGAATGAATTAGACTATCGAATGGTTACTGAATGAATGATTTCAATGGAATCATTCTATCGAATGATTTCAATGGAATCATTCTATCGAATGATTTCAATGGAATCATTCTATCGAATGGTTTTATTCGAATAAAATCATTCTATCGAATGGTTTTATTCGAATAAAATAATTCATTCATTTGTATACTAAAGCATATGTGACAAGCTCGCCGTGCGACTAAATGGTTATCGTTGAGCCACGACTATCGAATGCTTTTGAAAAATGAAATTTAGTACTCGTTTGATTTTTGTGTGCCTCAGTGCATTATTAGTTCTTCCAAATTTTTATAACTTCGCCTTATAAATACTGTGCTATTTTTGCGTTTATTAAAATATTTAAAATACTAAAATAGTAGTTTTTTTTTAATTGACGATTGTGTGTGTGTGCAGGTGGTCAAAATTTTTTCCAAAATTTGTGTGATTTTCCGGAGCCCTATCTTTCAATTATTTAATTTTATATGGTATATGGTCTATTTTTTAATGGGAAATTTTGAGACGTAGCAATTTTAAAAATACGTAATATTTGTATTTTAGATGTTTTAATAATATGAATTAGTTGAACTTAATAATCATGTTTAAGTAATGTGGTTATCGAAATCAAACTATGGGGTGAGAAAATTAAATTGAAGTTTTACACGCAACAATTTAAAAAAAAGTTAACGATGTTTGTATTTTGTTTATGCTAATTCTCTTACATGTAGTTTTTTGCGAAGAAATATTTCATTTATTTTTTAAAGTAAATGCCAGTAAAAGTAAAATTATTTTTAAATAGTAATATAAAGTACCTAATATAAATAATTTTGATTTCTAATTTTTTATATATATTTTCCTTCCATTACACTGCATGCTTAGAAAATTAATAAATGTTTATATTTCATGATTTTAAAATTTGTTGTTAATATAACAAATTAGTTCTGTAATTATTATTATTTAATAAACCAACGTTGCCAAAAAAATTTGAGACTATTATTTTTAAATAGGATCTAATATAAATAATTTTGACATCTAATTTGTAGTTTATATTTTGCTACGACTTAAAAAATTATATTAAATGAATTTAAATTTTGTTGTTAATAGGTATAACAAATTATTACTGTTATTATTATTTATTAAACCAGCCTTTGCTTAAAAACATTAAAAATCATTTTCCTACATCTAAACTAACTAAAGCCAAACAATAATATTCTTTGCTAATATCAACTAATACCAATATATGGCAACGGCGCCCTTCATAATGTATTTTCTGTGTAAATACTAGCACCTCAATAAAAAAATAATATGTCCTTATCTTTATCTGACTCCGCAAAAAATCAAAGATGCCGGCTTCTTTCATAGAATTACCACCGACCCTTGTCGGGTTTCTCGGAAAGAAACCTACGTCGCCGGGCGACAACTAAAATCCAGTTAATATTTTATTATAATCGATCCTGACGAATAAATGCATTTTATAAATGAATGAATTTTATAAACGAATGGTTTTTGCTGCCTAATTACTAGAATACAATATTTCAAGGCAGATGACGCATCTATTCGATAATTTTTATTCGAACAGTTAAAATATTTTAGTTTCTTATTAGCTATCGAATTATTCGAATGAATTGCAACTATCGAATGTTTCGATAGTATTCATTCGATAGTTCCCACTACTAATATTAACATACCAATCTTATATTACTTACCAATCATTAAAAAGGGCGCTGCCAAATTGATACCAATAAAGTCCACACCAGCATACATACAAAATCCAAACGCTCCTAGAGTGGCCATAGCAGCGCTCAAATTTCCCAACAATCCCAACCAAGGTTTCGATCTGACCCAATCAGACATCATACACGTAACTAAATTTTACAAAGATTAATCAAAAATACATTTTTATATACTTAGAATATCTACTTATGGAGAATACAGCCATAATGACGAATGTCGATGTGAAGTAGGGAATCACCGAGTGAGTGTTTTTCTCCAGCTCGTGATCCAGTGTTCTCGAAGCGAATCTGGCTATCCTGATATGCTCGAATCTGTTCTCTTTATCCTGGATTTGTTCGATTAGGTTGAGAAAAGCGTCTTCCCAAGCTGCACCTCTGGAAATATAATATGAATAGGTTAGTAATTGCATTGTAATGAAGTTCATAAAAATTTCTGCACTTATTCCTGGGACACTCCGTATATCGAGTTAATTAATATAATTATATAAGGATTCTTGCCACTTAACTGCTGATATAGAAATTTAATTCTACGCTGTGTTTGTCATAATGTGGACCAACCTGCTCTCACTACCGGTTTCGGAGCCCTACTCCATTATCAGGTGAGTTTGGGCAGATCCACAAAATGACAACCACAGCGCAGAGTAGTTAATTCCGACTTGTCAGAAAGTATCGGTTAGATATTAAGTCCCGAACGGGAGATAGCGGCCCGAGTGCATTGGTAGTACTTTCGTACCACCGAGGCGCAACTATCGATAGTAAAAGGATGGTAAAAGGCTTTTTTTCGTGGTACCTCAGTGGTACGACTTCTCTTTGTCGCGAGTCTGACACTAGGCCTATTGTTGTTTCATCACTAAACATGACAAAATTCCAGTTAGGTCCATTTGCTCTCATCTCCTCAGCCCATTGTAGACGCGTAATGTTGTGCTGTAAATTAAGCTTCGAAAAAGGCCTTCTTAAATGTAATCCTCTGCCATGGAGTCTTCTTGCTATGGTCTTTCTTGAAACATTTACTCTTTGAAGGCGAACTAACTCATTTTTAAAAAAGAAAGCAGGGGATTGCGTCGTGCAATTAGGGATATTTGACGGACTTGTACAGCAGTAGTAACTCTCTTTCTACCACTTCCAAGCCGGTCTGTAACCTCGTTTGTCTCACTGATCTTTTTTAATATTCGCAAAACATCGCTTTGGTTAATTCCTACAATTTCAGCTATTGCAGCTTGCCGGTAGCCCTTTTGAGACAGTGTTGTCTGACTCTATTAAACTGTGAAATGATGTTTCTAGGCCTTGGTCTAACCAATGATCAAATTTCTTCTGAAACCCAAGAGACTACAAATCGAAATGTGCAAGAATTTGTAATACTATTGGGTCTGAACGATAAACATTGTTTACCATATCCATTTTAACAAAAAAAATGTTTATTACAGATTATCAAAGCTATATATAACAAAAATATTCTTTAAATTCCTTTCAGTATATTTTTAAACGATATATGCAATAATTTTGACTATGTGTGTATTTAATTATTATTACCACTATTACTGTGTCTTAATAAAAGGCTATTAAAACACGGTCAGCTAAAAGCACGAGTTCTATACTTACAATGTATCAATTTTCCTACTATCGGCATTTCCGAAATACACCAACTGAACTGAGGGCACGCTGATAATGATACCATCCTCGCTTACTTCTGTTCCACCGAAGAAAATTGGAAGGATGTGAGTATCCCAGGTTACTGGGTTGATCATCAACGGAAACGTCAGATTGATGTTATGGTTTTCTACCTTAAATAACAAAAAAATTTCATTCATAAATAAATTGTTTTCTCAGTAAAATATATTAAAACTAAATTCTATAGCTATTGTTATCAAATGGTATTCTAAAGCCAGATTGTCATATGATGGAAAATGGGGAGATTATTAGCAATAATGATATCAAAAAATTGTTACTTTCTCCAAAAGATAGCTCCATCTAAGAAAAATATTAGTTATTTTTAAACTACTGAAATAAATGAAGACTGTTTAAGTTATTAATTTTTAACAAAATATATTAAAAAATGTCTATACCTATGTGGCGGATTCATCTCTCCAAAAAAATTATATATGGGTATTTCGCCACTGCAAGAAAATCTACAAAAGGTATAAAAAACCCCTACAAAATAAAACAGTTATTTTTTGTAAACACTTCTGCGTTAATCCAAACCATATCCAAACGTAAACTACTTGTCAAAAGTTGGGTTTACATACCAGCAAAAAAAACAAAGAATAAAAAAAAAACTATTTAAATTCAACTATTCGAGAAAACTTTAGTTTTTTTAAAACAGATACGTCTACCAAAATCGTTGACGTTCTGTTAAAATTACATTATATCAAGTTAAACTTCAAAATTAACAATTAACTACCTAATAACAATTACTTAAGGTATAACCCAAGAAGGTAATTTTAAAGTAATTTATAAGGTAAAACCAAGAAGCCCCAAACTTTCTGTATGGTTATTTTTAATTTTTACGTATGTTATGTTTATTTATGTTATGTTCTTTAAAATCAAAGAAGCGATTGCCATACATTACTAACATCTACAGATGCATGGGCAATACATTTATTTTTATTATATTGTATTAAAAAAGCCTCTTTTATTTTTCTTTTTTATCGCTTCTTTCATTATAATTTTGGCGTTATTAACGACGTAAAGAGATAAACTTTCCGAAACGTTGAGCAGTTTTTTGTTCGTTAGGCAAATTTATATATCTGTAAACCTAATTTCTGACAGGTAGTTTCCGTTTGGATTAACGGAGAAGTGTTTACACAAAATTGTATTTAAACTATTGTATTTTGTAGCTTTTCTTGCAGTGGCGAAATACCCATATAGGATTTTTTTGGAGAAAATATATCAATTAATATTAATAATAATAATAGCTCCCGTATATAGCGTTTAATGCCTTGGGAATAGCAAGGTACAGCTTGCAATGCTAGAGTCGTTCGGTATACAAGGGAGGTAATGTGGCTAACACTACGCTTCAACCGCCTATTATTACCTCAGGATTATGAATCCCAAGTACTCATTTAAGGCTGAGCCGACCTAGGTACCCAAACTATTTTTATTTTATTAATAGTAGTCGGTTGAAATGCCGGCTGTGGGATTCGAACCCACAACCTTTAGATTAGTAGATGGGAGCTGTACCTCGACGCCACCGGGCACCCAATTAATATTGATAATAATTGTTTAAAATACTACAATTTGTTTAATTATTAATATTGAAATGTTTCAATAATAATTAATTATAGTAGATAGTGGTGGAAAATGACTCAGTTTTAATACAATCAAAATCAAGGATAATTAAATAGGACTGGAAAGAAAATTAATAGAATATTTTCAACTCCTAAGAACAACAGCTTTGTCGTTTAGCTTATTTTTGACTGTGTTTTGATTATATTTAAAATATATTAATAATAATAATTTACTTTTTAAATTATTTTTTTTTAAATTGGTAGTGAAATAAAAAAAAAGTATAATACAATATTTCAAGTGGAATAATTCTATGTAAAAATTTGATTTCATTTGATATAATTTAATAATAAAGTAATTTTGGGTCAACATGGTCACAACCAAATATATTGACAGGAATTTCAATAGTTATGAACTGGAGAATGTTATCTAGAGAGATCAGAAGAGGACCACCATAGATCCAAAAATATTGCAGGGGAACAGACCGATAGCCAGCTTAAAAGTCTGATTATTAAAAATACTTTAACAATTTTCACACCCCTACCCCTACTTTCTTTCATAACTACCCTCTTATAGATTTGAAAGGAAATTTGAGGTAGGTTTCTTAAATGTATGTAAATTACTTTTAATACAATTTTGAAGTTGTACACAATACCTCTGATAGGATTTCAAGATTAGGTCAATACATGATACCTGGTTGGATTTTTCAAATGCAATTTTCACACCCCTCACCGCTACACCCTTTTACCACTACCCCATTATGGAATGGAAAAAAATTTCACGTATAGACTTAAGACCAGTTTATTATAATATCTGTTAGGTATACGCCGATCTATACTAATATATAAAATCCTTAAGTGACTGACACACTGATTAATCACGATCCTGCTCAAACCACTCAACGTAAGAAGCTCAATTTTGGCATACAGGTTGATTCTAGGGTGTAGAGGTTCGATAAGAAGGGATTTTTCGAAATTCCTGTTCCAAGAGGGTGAAACCACCCCTCAAATATTACAATATTTTTTATTTAAAAAACGGTCAAGTTTCCGAAAAAAACGCTTAAACACTTTTATTTTTTTACATATTTTAAGATTTTTTAAAGATGTATACAGGGTGTTTCGAAAAATCTGGTCCTTGATTAATCACGATCCTGCTTAAAGCGCTTGACGTAAAAAGCTGATTTTTAGAAAAGAGATTGACTTTAGGGTGTAGAGGTTCGATAAGAAGGGACTTTTCGAAACTCGAATTCTAAGGGGGTGAAACTATCCCTCAAATATTAAAATATTTTTTATTTAAAAACCGGTGAGTTTTTCGGAAAAACTCTTAAACCTGTATATTTTATTTTGTTGTTTTACATATTTTAAGATTTTTTTTTATAAATTTATACAGGGTGTTTCATAAAATATGACCACTGAGTAAGCACGATTCTGCTTAAACTGCTTGACATTTAAAGCTGATTTTTGGCAAACGGATTGACTGTGGGGTGTAGAGGTTCGATAAGGAGGGGCTTCTCACCATTCCAAGAGGGTGAAAACGCCCCTCAAATATTACAATATTTGTTATTTAAAAAACGGTTAGTCTTTCGGGAAAACGCTTGGACAAGCATAATTTATTTGGTTTTTTCACATATTTTGAAATTTTTTAAAAAATCATACAGGGTGTTCCAAAAAGTTGGGTAATTTCTTAACCACGATTTTGCTTAAACTGCTTGACGTAAAAAGCTTATTTTTGGCAAACGGATTTTTCGAAAGTCAAATTCCAACGAGATGAAACTACCCCTCAAATATTACTAAGTTATATAATAATATCGCCATATTGTTTTTTTATCATGCTGACATAAATGAGAGAAAATTTTATTCAGTTTTTATGTTAATGGAAATTCTTGCTTTGTTTTATCATCACCATTACAAATGATTAATTCGACGCTTACGAAGTCGCTGGTACACGCTAGTTTATTTATAAAAGTGTTTATACCACTTTATTCACAACATTATTATTTCGATTAATTAGGTATTCATTGTTTCTACTTACGTCCTCCATAATGTAGTCCAAATTTAAAATATCGTTTTGGAAGCATTCCGTCATCCACTTCGCACAAATGTCGTTATAAGTAAAATATTCGTTTTCGTAAATGACGGTCATGTTTTGTATTAGCTCGTCTAACATTCTAATTTCTTTCCAGACTTCGACTCTCAACATATTCTTGTTTCCATCTTTGGACGTGATAATAACTCTGCCAAATCTACCTGAAACAAAGAATGAGCATTATAGTAATATATAATTATGTATATAATTTTTTTTAGTTGTTTCTTGGGTGTTGTTTGTGGCTATGGTTAAATTAAAACAATATTTTTTCGACGTTTTGCATTTAATGTATCATGCTTCTTCAGGATTTTTTTTGGTCTTTCCATGTCTTGGAGTAGTATTAATTATCGTTTCTTTACTGAGAATCTCAGTATTGAACTGAGAATCAGTACTAAGAATCTCAGCAAAGAAACGATAATAAATACTACTCCAAGACATAGGAAAGACCAAAAAAAAAATCTTGAGGAAACATGATACATTAAATGCGAAGCGTCGAAAAATTATTGTTTCTAAAGAACTACCATTAAAAAATTAAGGAACTAAATACAGCAAGCAATAAAATAAGTCTCAACTTCTGCCTCGATGCATTTTCATGTTTTGCTTTGTATTTTTTTAAGGTGGCTGTGCCAACGCGTCGCGCCGTAATTGTTTTATTGCAAAAGTTATGACAGGATCAATAATACGAGCCCTAACAACTAAATGTTCGGACAAACAAAAATTTATTAAAAACCTTTATTTTCATTAACTGAATTATTTACATTTAAGAAATACATTAAAAATATATTAGAATCTAACATTTCTAATGAGTATTTAAATAGTTTAGTTTCTATAAACATTAAAATAAACTGTAGGCCAATAAATAAACAAAAATATTGCACAATATCGTGACAACTAAATGTTCGGACACTTTAAAAAATAACTGTTCTCATATGGCGTTACATCGACATGAACTTTTGCAACCACTGCAAGCCTGTTTGGCATTGTTTTTATTAATAATTGACATGCGTCCGAGCAAAATTTTGCCATAATTCACTGAATATCATCGTCAAATGGGCAACGGTTTTCTTGGGGATCGTGGCACAATTCTTGTTTTGTTTTATGCCACATCTCTCAGTAACATTAAGGTCCGGACTATGCGAAGGCAATGAGGGGACCTTGATGTTCATGTCCCTAAACCATTTTTTAGTAGTTTTAGCCGTATGGCATGCCCCGCCATCCTGTTGAAACATAAAATTCATATCCTGGTAAAGGTCTTTCGCACTTCACACAAAACTATTTTTCAAAAAATTTCTTGATGTTTTGACACATTAGTTGTACCTTTCTACCACCTCATATCTTCCTAGACCCATTGCGGACGTAAACTCTAAAAGCACAATGTCTTTAGGAAATTCCACTGTCCATCTTTCATAATGATCATGCATGCGTGCAGATGTAATCCTCGAACTTGCGATTATAATTAACAGCGTCGAATTGGAACTTCTGATGTCACAAACTACAAAAATGACATTAAGGTAAAGTATTTAATTATTTCCCAATCCGACGGTAATAATTCCAATCGCAAATTGCAAGTGCACGGATTACATATGCACATGAGTCACCTTAATATCGATATAATAAATATAATCGAACACCGCTAGAGTGTCTATTTGATAAAGATTGCCTCAAAAGGACAGTGAAATTTCCTAAAGGCATTAAGATTTGAATGTGTATGTCCAAAATAGGCCCAGAAAAGTATGAAGTGGTAGAAGGCATAATTGATGCGTCAAAAAATCAAAGAATTTTGAAAAATATTCTTCTGTCAAGTGGGAAAGACAAAGGTTCTTGTAACCAATTGTTCTGGTAAAGACCAGGACAATAATTTTATATTTCAACAGGATGGCGGGGCAAAAAAAAATGGTTTAGGGACATGATCATCAAGCTCATGGCCTTCGCACAGTCCGGACCTTAATGTTATCGCGACATATGGCATAAAACAAAACAAAAATTGTGCCACGATCCCCAAGAAACCGTTGCCCACTTGACGATGATATTAAGTGAATTATGGCAAAATTTTTACTCTGGCGTATGCCAATCATTAATAAAAACAATGCAAACAGGCTTGCAGTGGTTGCAAAAGTTTATGCCGATGTAAAGCCATATGAGTACAGTTATTTTTTTAAAGTGTCCGAACATTTAGTTGTCACGATATTGTGCAATCTTTTTTGTTTATTTATTGGTCTACAGTTTATTTTAATGTTTATAGAAACTAAACTATTTAAATACTCATTAGAAATGTTAGATTTTAATATATTTTTAATGTATTTCTTAAATGTAAATAATTCAGTTAATTAAAATAAAGGTTTTTAATAATTTTTTGTTTGTCCGAACATTTAGTTGTTAGGGCTCGTATTCTTGGCTCTAGTTAATAGCAAAATGGTATTTTCTCCTTTTGAGATGCGCGATATGATAAAAATCTATTATAGTTGCAATCGAAATTCTCAAGTAGCAAGTCAACAGTATATGGAATTGTATCCGGAAAGACCACAGCCTCATTATAGCCGTTTCGCTATTTTAGACAATAATTTGTCTCTTTATAACCAAGAAGAAAATATGGATCCCGTGTAACTACTGAAGAAGAGCAACAGATTATTAATGAAGTTGGTTAATTTTTTATTTTTCTATCTTTTTCTACAATATACGTATTTCTCTTTAAGGTGGACAACAACACCAGGAAATCAACTAGACAATTTGCTCATGAACTCAACAAACCCAGAAAACGTGTACAAAATACTTTACATTCTCATGGATACAAAGCGTTTAAAATACACGTTAGTCAGGCACTCAGGCCAGGAGATAATGAAAGGCGCCTGCAGTTTTGTGACTGGTTTGTTCAAAAAATAGATGAAAATGTAGATTTCCCTAATAATATAATATGGACAGACGAATGCAGCTTCTCAACTAGCGGATTATTCAATAGAAACAATGAACATTATTGGTCTATTGATAATCCAAGGATAAACCAGCAGGTACGAATTCAAGGGAGAACTTCATTCAATGTATGGATTGGTATGTGGAGGAACACAATTATTGGACCTTTCATTTACGATGGGACGATATCTAAATTTGATTAGGAATGATGTCTTAGACGCTCTAGACAATCAACCTTTGGCGGTATTGCAAGAAATATGGTGGCAGCAAGACGGAGCTCCTGCCCAAAATGGAAGGGAATTGTACTACAGTACTTGAATACCGAGTATTGAAATTATCCTATTAAGCCCTTACACTAGAAGAAAGTAGAAACCCCTTATAGGTTAAACCGAGCACGCAACGAAGATCGCCGCGCACAATAAGTAACGAAATTCCAAGTCAATCCCAAGTCTTCCAACCTGTACACAAAACAACGATTATAAAGTAACGATATTAAGTACCAAAGTGACGAGTAACTAAAGTAACTAAAGTAACGAGTCCAAAGTCACGAGTGCTATTACCAAAAGTAACTAGTAGTAACCAGTCCATATAAGTAACTAAAGTTTACATAACTAGTCAGGACATATGACAAGAAGGACAGAGGGCAGATGATACTACATACGGTAGATAACTACAGCATGGTATACGTACATAACAATCCATAAGTATTATTAATATAATATTAATGCATATTAAGACTTGGTATCACAGAACTAAGCGTATTATAGAAAGCAAATTCTGTGCAGCAAAACTAGTTTATTGTTATAATTTACCATAACTAAATTAAATGTCCTGGTATTTATTTTTTATACGGCCGTTTAGGAAAAAAATAGTAATTATAATAATACACCATTATTAGCGCAATCCAAGCATACGGTATTTGTACTGGCAACGCCTATGCTATTAGCACAGAAGTAGAAATCAAATTTTCTATTTGTATCTTAGAAATAAGTACAAATTAAAATTATTTGCTCATGAAAAGGAATGTAATATGGTTGGAGGTGTTTATTATAGTTAGTTTTCTAAGACAATTTACATTTTTACTTAGTAATTAAATTAATTAATTTGATTATTTCATTAATTAGAAGTGTCCGATATTAAGAATACTTTTCACAATTAAAAACATTGCACAAACTATGCAAATAATAAAATTATTTAATAATGTATCATGGTTAGTGAAGCGTTTATTTAATTGGTTGTTTCTCAAGAGAATTTTTTTACAGAACGATTTTATATTCATTATATCAATATTTCTTGAGGACTGATAAGGAATTGGCAGAAAATGATGAAAACTAAATGTGAATTCCCTATCTGTAGATAATAATAATAGTATATAATATACAGGGTGCTACAAATTCGAGATACGAGCATTGGTATCTGGGAAACCGTAACAGATACGAAGATGGTTAAATTGAGGCAAAGTTACGCCTTGGGCTGTTCACCATGATGTCATCAAAAAAGTTTTAAAAATTTCAAGGATTGCTGAGTTTTTTTGGAAAAAACGGATTTTTTTGAAAACTAATTTAATTTTTTCCTGTCGTTACTTTTCAGAAAATCAAACAACTAATAGCACGTTCTCATAGCCACTTTATTAGGGCTATCTGATAGTATTTTTAGATTTTCAAATTAGCTGATGATTTGTAAGATACAGAGGCCAACTTAGTTTTTTTAAATACGGACCTGCATTTTTTATTTCATATTTTCAAAGAATTCAGTCTCCTGAGTACAATCATATGCCACACTTTATACTTTTTTTTGTTTTGTATTTTAAATTATTTAATCTGATTATATTCATCGCAACGATATTGATCAGTGCTAATTAACATTGAATAAAGAAAATTGAGCCAATTGAAAGATGCAAATAAATAATATCCAGATCAACAATCTAAAGATATTATTTTTAACTTTTCTTATTGTGAAGTTGAAATTCTCATTGTACGATCTAATAATTTGCATAATATTTATCGTAGTTATTATGTATAAATTAACTTCTATAAACTAGTTTCTAATGCTTTACATAGTCTATATGTTCTCCCTAATGCACAAATTTATTTTTCGTTCAATTTTATTTATAGCTTTTCAATAGATCTTCTTATACTTCTGAATGCATTTTGTATTCTTTATTCTAACTGCCGAGATGTGTTGATTTCACTTTTTTGTAAAATTTGGACCTGTCGAATTACTTGACGTCATCAGACCCTCCAGATACCTCGCT